TGTCTATCCCTTTTTCTAGTCTACACATCACAAGATATCAGAATTTACAGCCTGCCACAGCTGTAGAAATCACTAACACCAGACTGAGACTTCAAGAGTATTGAATTTGGGGGAGAAAAGTGGGAAGAATTCTTCCATTGCGTGAATAGTAGGAAACATTTCCCTATGAGTCTTTGTTTTACATGTCTGCTGTTTAAAGCTCAGAAAGTAATACCAGAGGAGAGGGACTGAGACTCTAAGAGGGTGTAGGTCATCAGAGATGTAGGGTAAGTGCCTTTTGAATACATACCAATATATCTAGCTTCTATTAGAGCTCCATGTAGGTATCTGAATGAAGAAAGACAACTCGTGGAGAAGTAGGGACTGCAATTAACATAGCAAAAGTGGGTCACCATGTGTCTTAGATGTTTGGATGGCTGGGCTCAAATTATTTTGACCATTCAGAATTAATGCAAACAGATAAATGAAGAAGATGGTAATAATGTGAAGAGGTGCACACATGTGATCTCCCTGTCCTTTTGATCTTTCCATGGGATTTTCAAACATTACTATAGAACAGGCTTGTAGGTGGGACTGATGGTTTTCTGGAGGTGGCCTGAAGATAAACATTTTTCATGTTATAGTCACACAATTGACAAAAATCATTACCACTGACCATGATTTGCCAGTTTCATCTGATGATCTCAATCCAATTCCTATAAACAAATGTCTTTACTGCTAAAATAATAATAAAAATTTTCACAAATCAAATTTGTTGTTATGGCATTAGCAGAATGTGTTAGCAGTGAGCATACTGATCAATTTCTTTATTCACCATCCATAACACCACAGGACTTGCCATATGGCATATCTACTCAATATTCTTGTTTTGAGCAAGAAATAGATACTTTAGAAGAACGGTGTGATGCCTCCCCAGCAGACCTGTTCCTTAGCTGGGGGTTTTCAAATAATATTATTTTTGATGAAAAGTGTGGAGCTGCTGACTTCAAATCTACTTGGAAGAAAGAGTTAGTCTGAATAATCTGGTTACCCAGGGAAGAAGATTTCCAAACTGTTAAAAATTTTCAGTGTTTTATTCAGGTATTATCTTCTTTCTGGATTTCCAGATTTCAGGGTGGGAAACATTTCCAAGATCTTGAAAGGCAAAATAATCCCCTTATTCTATAAAACTGACAGAAGACTTGAACATGATTTTTTTAATTTAAAAAGGAGATGAGTAGAGTTATGATCTTAATGTACTTTTTGGTAAAAACAAAGTCTCCTAAATAAATTAGTTGAAATTTCATAGAAATATTTTTATTTTCCTTTACTTTTGAACATTGATAATTCAAGGGTCACAGAAGTGCAGTCATGGCATTAGCTTCTGGAGTTACGGGACGAAGGTTGACCTAGCTTCAGGCATGGAGACATAGCCATTGGATTTACAGGTTTCTTAGTCTGCCTCATTCTCATTCTTGTAAATTCTGAAAAATTCCTTACATTTCTAGTAGAGGCACCTCTCATTCGCAATATGATCACACAGTTCCTGGTATAGCAACCGGATGAGCCATTGCTAGACATTATCTTAGTATTGGTATCAGTATTCGTGTCAAATGGGACGAATTATATGAACGCAGTTGCAGTAGTAGTACATCAAGGTGGGCAGACGATTCACACCCACAACATTTATATGGTAAGTGTAGCCCTTTCTCTGTAAAACAGCTCGGCTACATCTATGCTTGTAAACTAACAAGCACCCTGTCAGGAAGCTGTGTGTGACTGTCCATACCACATCAGCGTTGGTGTGCTCCTTCCCAGCTCTGGCCCGTGTCGACAAGCCTTCTCCCAGGCAGTGCCCCGGCAGACTGTGGGCCAGGATCTGTTCCCATGGGCAGTGTGGATGTGACCACTTCTTGCTGGGGTAAGGAAGAGAATTTGGCTGTATGGATGCAAGCTAAACCTTTCTGCTTGGAAAGGTCTTTGGCCTGCTTAATTTGCTAGTGTAGACTCAGCCTTTATTCTGTGAGGAAAAAAAAATCCCTTAGGATGCATTATTTTCTCAGATATTTGATAGCTGCTAGTCGTTCTTTCAGCTCTGCTGAAATCACTGGTTTTGTTTTAGTTAACTAACTGATAAGGTTCTTTACAAAATGTTGTTTACCTTATATAGGAACAGCAGTTTTCCCAGAAAAGCAAGGTTAATCAGCTTGTACAAAGCCTTATGTTATTGTGGCTTGATTTCTGTTGCTTTGGGTATTTTGTTCATGAGTACTCACTCCCTCTGTCTGTGGATCACCTGGAGTCCATGCAATGCTTCAGGGGAGTGCTGGAAGTGGAGGGAGCTGAGCAGACGGTGGCATCTGAGCTGCTCCCTGCTCCCTTGGGCTTCTACAAGTTCCTGGTCAGCCCAATCCGGCGGGAGGTCTGCAGCCAGGGACCCTCCTCAGCACTGGGTGGAGCTGCCTTCGAACCTGCGGCCAAAGATAGGGGTCTCTGAGATGGGGGGACAATACTGTGCCTCAGAGGTTTGGCAGTAGCAGTTGGGCAGGAAGGATTCTTGAAGAATATTTTCTTTCCGAATTGTGGAGTACCTTTTCAGTGAGGGTTATGCATTCCTAGAAGTAGAGCTTAGGCTCAGGCACACTTGCTCAGAAATCGAGAGCTGGGAAGCAGGAAGAGAAGAGATTCATGGCCAAACTCTTCCCCTGCTTTAGTGATACAAGTCTGGGAATGTTTAATTTTGAAGGGAACAGTACTGCCTGTTTTTACATTCATAATCCTAGGAGCAAAATCTGGCTGTCTGAAGACAAAGTATTCAAAGGCAGGCAAAACATCTGTCTGACATCAGGTTAATTTAAACTTGAATAATACCCTAATGTTTTATTCAAGGTTTCCATATCTATCACCGATTACCAAGACTCATGCCCGAAAGCTGCATCCTGATTGCCATTGGAGCACTAGTAGGAGCGATCATCTTTGCTTCTGATCACAAATCTCCACCAGTGATGAACACAAGTATTTACTTCTTGTATCTCCTTCCGCCCATTGTCCTGGAGGAGGGTTATTTCATGCCAACTCGCCCATTTTTTGAAAACTTTGGGTCCATCCTGTGGTGGTCTGTGTTGGGATCTCTGCTAAACTCGTTTGGGATTGGCCTCTCCCTCTATGGGGTCTGCCAGATTGAAGCCTTCAGCCTGACCGACCTGAACCTGCTGCAGAACCTGCTCTTTGGCAGCATGATTTCAGCTGTGGATCCTGTGGCAGCTCTGGTAGTTTTTGAAGAAGCCTCTGTTAATGAGCAGCTTTACATGATGATCTTCGGAGAGTCATTGCTAAATGATGGCATAACTGTGGTGAGTTCCTTTCCACTGCTTGTCTTCCCCTCTTTGGGCTCTTGTGGCTTGGAGGGTTATTGCGCACAGGACAAGAGCAGCTCTAAGGAGATCCTAGATACATTATTTATTTTATGGATCCTCCACTCCATTACACAAAAGTAATTTCAATGTACGTAAAGATTACATCTTATATTAACTCTTTCAAAAACATATTGTTTTAGAGCTGCTGGAAGAGGAAAGCATACACATACACATTAGACATCACATCTTGCTCTTGCAGTCACTGAAGTGAATGGATAAGCTACAGCTGATTTTTCTGGTAGGATCAGTGTAAGACCTAGGAACGTTCTTGACATTGTGCAAGCAAATAAATAGAAAATTGTACTGCTTAAAGACTGAAGGCAGCAGGGGTAGCAATCCAGGAGACCCTGCCTTGTCACATGCCTTAGAGAGCCATCTGAAGGAAAAAAAAAAAAGCCAGATGTGGACAACCTCTGGAGGCCGCACACCTTCCTCCAGCTTCCTCCTTCAGTAAAAAAATTGACATCTGACAAATGTTCACCTTTCTTGGCTCTTATCCAAGTGTCCAGAAACAATGCTTCTGAATAAGAGAGATTTTGTTTGTTGTTTTTTGTTGTTTGTTTGTTTTTTCTAAATAGGAAAAGAGTGTTTTTACAGAGCTCCTCTTGCTAATACTTTTCCCCTTTTCTCATTACTTCTATTAAAACCTAGAGCAACCTGAAGTTCTAGCTGTAAACCACAACTGACAAAACCACTTAGAACACACATGTTTTTCAAGAAGTAAATTTCAAGCAGGATATTCATTGCTCAGAAACAACAGGACTGCTCATGTGCTGCAAGTTAACTGCAGGTTAAGGAGTTTTGCTAGATAAGATCTTTACAGGATTTAAATCACAGGAATCTAAAACACATAAAAACTATGCAGATACTGTTATACATGAGGTACAGCACAACTTGGACTTGTAAAATCTGTACAGAGTTCATTGCTGAAAGACTTCATGGGAGAACTGCGGTTTATGAGTAATGCAAAAAGGAAAAGGAATGAAGTAATTTCTTGCAGCCACAGCCTATTGATCATAAATCCTTCCTCTTGGTGAATCAGAGATGTAGGGCTGATGTAGAACTAAGGGACAAATGTCACTTAACTTTACATGCAAACTGCTCATGTGTTATAGTTGTAACAAAAAAATCCCCAGTGCATCTACCACTTCCATTTGTCTTTTTGGTTCCTTCAAGTGGAGACCTCAAAAAGTAATACCTCTTCCTCACTCTGGAACAGCTTGTTTCATCCTTTTTTTGACTGGCTCTCTTGCCTTCCCTTTGTTCCCAGTTGTTATTTATGATGTGGGTCCAACTCATGATGGTATTTACAAGCTTTCAGTCAGGATCCGGTTACAGCATAACTGTGTAGTGACAGAAAGCCTTTAAAAACAGTGGTATTTAGGCATTCCTCAGCAGCACTAGGTGTGTGAGCAAAAGAGATGAAAGGGCTGTCCATGGGGAGTGTTGGCTACACCACTGTGAGTTCCCTTTGCCCCACGCGCCATCATCTTTGGGGCTCTTCTCACAGCACCTATGTTGCAATCAGTTTGTCTGCTCTTGCTGATGCATCTCTGCAACACCCACCTCTCACCCATTTTCTAGGCATTCAAGTTTTCAAAATCTCTACCTGGCATCATGTTTGAGAATACTGAAGTATTTGTCACCTGGATGGAGCCCAATAGGTGGCTTTCTCCTCTCTGATACCCCACTTGCTTTTTAAAAGGCTTTAAAACTGTTTATCTTGGGTGTCTTATCTTACCATTTCCTCCCCGTTTCTCTCTTAAGTTTCCTTTGAGTTAACTCTATGTGTTTAAAAAGATAGTATCACCAAGGTATATTAAGCATACATATTTTTTGATTGTTTAAATACAAATATCCCCTGCTTCTCTCCAGTCTGCTTATCAGCTTGAACATTTTTTTCCCCAGCAGGAAAAACTGGTATGAATTTTGCTGAACTTGTGTTTTACATTTGAGGCAACAATAGCTCCCTCTCCTATATTTAGTTCAATATCCCGGTACAAAAAATTTGCAAAATAACAGACTGTGGGATTAGAATGATGATTTAGGAGTTATGCCTTTGACTTAAGGGACTGGGACAAAAGTGGATAATTCACCCTTTTTACCCATTTATACCTTTTCCCATTCTCCTCAGTAGGACCGTGTCCATGAATGGAACAAGAAGGCTCCAGGTCCTGTTAATTGCTTCTTTTCCCAGTTGCTTCTGAGCAGAGTGTTAGCATCAGAATAGTGCAGACAGCAACAGGACTGGTCCTGGCATGTATCATACATTAGTGGAGTTTCAAAGCCCTGTTCAAAACAGTGATGTTGGTAAATCCAGTGCAGATTTCCTTCAAACCTGAACACAGGTGGAGGACTCTGATTTTGCTGCAAAGGCATCTGAAGCTCTGCTCCCGCATATACACAAACCATTTCTGTGTCAACAGGAGCTGAGCACCTGTGTGCATCAGGAAACAGAGTATTTCCCCTGACTACTTCATCTCTGAGGTTTGATTTTAGAAACACTGAGAACACCTATACATCATGCTGTACTCAAAATGAAGTGGCAGTGACTATATTCTGTCATGGTGCCCTCTCTTCTTTGTATGCTCTCTAGCAGAGCAGTTAAAGAAATCTACTGCATGATGGAGACCCAAGTAAAATTAATTTCTTTATTGGAGGGGACTTGAATTTACCTCTCTGATGTCGCTGAGGAAGGCTCTGACCACTGGGATGTATGGGTGCTAGGAAGGAGGATGGAGATACTCTCTGCTCCTGCTGTTGAAGTTGACCCATTGCGTTTAGAGTAAAATTAAATGCATGCGGTCAGAAAGAGTTATCAGGGTCGAAAGAAAGAGTTATCAAGGCTGCCTGTGTTGGTGGTTAAGGCAGTTTCTTGAAAATCTTTTTTCCAGTGCTTCTGATGTGTATGGTAAGCGCAATGTTTGTATCACACAGACAGCTGGAGCAGGGACCAGCCCCCGGGGAGGTCCCCTGTGGGCGACAGTGTCACGCTCTCTCTTCCTTTCCCTGGCACTAACAGCCACCCAGCGGTACACCGCTACACGGTAATGTCCCCTCCAAAAACCCCAAAGCATGACATTCTCGGAGTCATTAAATGAGGCCAACTATCAATCCATCCCTTCTTTTTGAGTGAACAAAGGCATCCTAAGTGGATTCAGGCTTTCCTACCATATGAAGAATTACAGTACTCCATTTACTGGCATAAACACTGCAATGTAACTTAGGCGAACAGCAGTTACATGGAGCCTTACTTGTACGACGCAGTGCAGGATGTTGTACAGAACAGTTTACTCCCACAAAGCATGTTACAAAAAAATGGAAATTATGCCTTATTTCCATAATTTCCATTTTAATGCCAATTCAGAGTTATCATATAGACACTTTAGGAACTAGAAAAAGAGAGAAAAACTTACTAAGTCATTTGCTGAGGATAATTTGCTTTGTTCATAAGTTAGCATAGATTCCTGCCTTGGTATCATTTATAAAGAATTGCAAGTCTTAGGAAGAGATTGACATCTGCAAGAAAGGGGGAACAGAGAGAAAACAGGCTTTGTAATTAAAAGCTGTATGGTAAGTACACTAAGGTTTACTTACTGTGGAGACATGAACCCTCTTTTCCTTATCTGCCACTGAAGAGCCTAATTTCATACATAGTCATCAGGAAAAAGCAGCTTTGGGTATTTTCTCACATGAAACACTTTGTTGTGCTTTGTCTGTCCCCCAGAAATACTAGCAATGAGCCTCCTGGAGAACAGGCTGTGTGACAGCTCAAGGTCATATGTTCCCAGCAGCAATTTAAGATTAGATAGTAGCTGGGGATTAATTATTATCCTAATGAGCTTGACTCTTCTACCTGCAAATATGTGCTTTAATCTTCTTAATAGCCTTCTGGAATTAACTATATGAAGAAAAAAGACCAAAGAAAACCAGATAAGGCAAATTATTTTCATCCGTTTTGTGTTTTTGAACTAATGCTTTGGTGCAACAGCTTTGGAGAGCTGGTGTCTTTAGATATTCCCCAAATGCTCTTGCAAACTGAAAGGTGACTGTCATGTGTTACACACTCCCTGTAAACAGATCTGACAGGACTTAGTGTTAACCGACTGTCAGCAACCTCTAAGACCTTTTTATTACTACACCACTCATTACAGTGGAAACTTTCTATTGGTTTCTAAAAGATGGATGAATGTGGAATATACTGAAGATTTTTCATCACAAATTTCTGCAGAAAAGAAATTATTTGTAATAGAAGTATGGTAAACTTATCTGCTCTAAAATAAATGAAATTATCTTTACAGATCAAATTATATAATGTAGCAAATTCAATCTTTCTCCTAATCTGACATTATTTTCCTTTTTTTTTTTTTTTTTTTTTGTCATTTCAAGCTTTCTAGTCAAAATATATGTGTGAAGGGTCTTTAGCCAAAGGTCACCCCACAGCTTTTGGTTCCCACTTTGAGACTGACACAGAGTTCCTTGGAAGGAGGTTAAGTGGCATCAAACCCAAAACATGTGAGGATAGAGAGGCTGTATTTATCTAGGTAGAGATAATATGAAACTGAGGCTACCATTTTTCTTTCCCTTCCCTTCCCTTCCCTTCCCTTCCCTTCCCTTCCCTTCCCTCTCCTGCTTCCCTTCCCTCTCCTGCTTCCTTTCCCATTCTCAGTGATGTTTCATGATTTTTATGCGTCAAGTGCTATTGAAAAACATTTGAACATTCCAGAGTCCATCTAATGAAGCGTGTCCAGTCTACTGATCACACAGACAACCTAAATGGGATTTAAATCAAAAGTGTGATTCTTAGTCGCTGCCCTGCCCCATCCTGAGTCAGAAAGAGAACGTGGAGGGGAGAGCCTGGGGTTGGTAAGGTACCCAGCTGGGCTTTCAACATCTGCTACAAAGACCAATAATTAAGTTTACCTTCAGAAAACAAAAAAGTATGAGCATTTTTCAGTTACTTCAATTGCATTTGATCCCCCAGAGTTTTACTTTTATTACATAACCATCTGCCCTTCCTTTTTTGTTATTTTTCAGGACACTTAACGGACCCTTAATTCTGGGACTTGTTAAGAACCAGCTGAGATTTCAACTGTTACTTTGCTGAACTGTCTAAAGCAATTTGAGAT